CTGTATATTTCGGACAACTACAACAACCCGTACGGAACGCCGCTCCGACGGACCTTCACGGGGCCGTGGTCGATGATGTCCAGGGGCTCGTTCAACGGGCCCGGCGGCCCTCACGCCCGGTGGCACGTACCCCCGGTGCAGGGATCGTCCATGGGATCCCTCCACACGGTCCGAGACAAGCTCCAGATCGGTCTCATTGATGAAGCGAGCATTGTCAACATCTCCAGGGAGAGCCTCCAGACGACGGGTCCGCTGGTCACCACCGTCACGGCGAGGTCGGTCAAGGCGGACCGTATCGGCGTACGCGTCCACCTCGGCACCGACATGTCCCCCGCGTGCGACGTCGGCAAAGACCTGTACTGCGACGGGGGCGGCTACGACAACTACGACGTGGAAGTGGTGGACAGGATGGGAGCGGATTCGTTCCAGGCCGACGCCGGCGTCATGATTAGCAAGACCAAGAACAGCGACTCGTCGGAGCCCTTCCAATGGACCATTGACGCGAATCCCCAAGACATCAAGCTGACAGACTTTGTACGTCCCAACGGCACGGAGGCGATGGTTACGATGGGCGACTACAGGCAGCTTCTGGATGCGCTCTTCCACGCTGGCACGCGCTCGGGGAGCAAAGCCGAGTACAAGGATGAGGCGAACGGTCTTCATTTTTATATTCTTGAAAAGATCCGTGACGCATCCGGCGTCTTGTCATATACCGTCGGTGCACGGGCTCTTAACAGCACTAGCAAGAGCAGGTTCGGCGTCAGGCTGGGCGAGGGTCGTCCGGAACCGAGCGGGAATACGCCCACGGGCAAGGGTATATTCTGCTCCTTTGACCTCGTCAACGATGGGAAATACACCCAAGAATCTGATGTTACTTCCGCGCTGGAGCCGCACGTGGGCTTCGACATATATCGTCTCCAGGCCGAGGTCAAGGGTAAGGGGTGGCGAACTGAGGTCCCCAACGCATTGGTGGCCGCCAAATTTGGAGAGACAGTGGTTGCCAACATCGCCGTTGGTGCGACGGCGAATGCGGACGATGTTGGCGTGGTCACGTTGACGGTGACGTCTGAGTCTGATCCGGAGGCCAGGACGACGGCGACTTGCGAGGTACGCAAGGCTTGAGTCGGAGAGGGTCAACATGGCGAGGTGAACAAAGGTTTGGTAGCGAGCTGATACGGAATGCTGAGTTGCACCATAAATCAAATGGCAATTAAATTCATGAATCCCTCTAAATGTATTGGACTCTAGTACTTGTACAACAGAAACTCGTGTCTAATCCTGTATTCATACACGCTATGCGCTTCCCCTGCTGCTGCTTGCTGCGGTGCGCGACTCATGGTCTCTCAAAGTCATCAGAGCAACTTCATCTAAATCCGAAACCTCAACGGCATATGACTTGTGATACGCTATCTGATTGCCGACGGGGCTCGATCGGTTCTGCCAGTCGTCGACCCCAGACGTTGCCGTAGCGCTAGGACCTAAGCCTGCACTTCGATTATTCTTTTCGGATGGTCGATTGTTGCTGCTGTCGTATCCAGCGTAGCTACGCGCCGTCGAGCCACCGAGAGTTGGGAATAGGCGTACAAGTAGAAGCCTGAACGAGGGTAGACAGACACACCAAATGCCCACGTTAACTTCTATAGTTGACCACAGCCCAACTTCGAAAAAGTCCCACGTGGGGTTCAAGGAGTCGGTGCCGAATTTGACGAGAGATCGGAGTCTGAGAATACTGACGACGGTCACACTGAAAGGAGTCAGTAATCCGCGTTGTCACAACGTGAAGGCGGGCGGGGCCACTTACAATGTACCCAGCATAAACATGGCGGCAACGCTGATCTTCTTCTTCCAGTGCATCTTCAAGCCCTTGAGTTGCCACATGGGGATAGCGAGCATCCAGACGTCTATGGCGATACCAATGCCTGCGTTTGACCAGGCGATGACGTTGATATCCATGCACTTTCCACTATGCTCTTGGTCCCACTTTGTCCAAAAGTAACTTATAGGAGAGCATGTGAAGATGCCGACGAAGACAAAAACGATGCCGTAAACAACCGTGAACGCAGCGGTGCCCCAGAGGAGCCGTCGCACAGCTGGTGCCGGGAAGATGCGCAGGAAAAATAGCAACAATGACAACTTGACCAATGCGATTTCGAAAAAATAGAGAACTTCCATAATGTAGAAGAATTTCCCAAAGTTGTACAGCTGATCAAAGTTGAGGGTCCATGCATCCTGTCCAATTCCATTAACACCAACGCCGTATGCGTTGATAATGGTTGAAGGTGAACCGCAGATGACGGTGGCGAGAGCAAACCAATCATCCCACCAAAAGGTCTGTTTCGCCCATAGCTTAAAGGCGAATCTCTGAAATATGAAGAGACCAGATATCACTCCGAGAACGTCCGACACTCGAATATAGGCAGCATTCTTGTCTCGGATGGGTGCATTGCAGCCCTCGCTTGTGAGTTTCTTGACCGCTGTAAAGTAGGAGTTAGTTGAGACTAGAATACAGCCAACGAAAACATATCCGGGTTGTCCGGGTGTTCAGCATATGAGAATAACATACTCAACGCTTCCTTCGCCGTACAGCTCTCCATAATACAGGCGGTTGCAGTCTCCAGCAGCACTTGATCAGAGCAAATGCACTTCTGATCAGTCAAGCTGCATTTTGTTTGTGTCAATGCTCCACCAAAGCATTTTGCCTGTCATTTTCTGTGTTAGCAGATGTCTGGTTTGTAGTGCATGAGAGAAGAGGGAGGGAAGGCGAGGTAGGTTTAGTTTGTCATACCGCGCATGCTGGAAGTTTTGTTATTACAGATGTCAATGAAGACGATGAATCGGACTCGCCGGCCACTGTTGGGATAGTCGACGCAAAGAGCAAAGCGAGCCCCCCTGATAACTTCATGTTGAGCCTAGTTGTTACCTTGCAAGGTAGAAGATGACTTGGCAGTAGTCAACAAGGTTGTTGGAACTATCTGAGAGGGTGACAGGGGATGAGTTGGATATATATCAATTTCTTCGAGGGACCGGGATTTCGAACCACCCCACGCCCAATGAACCAGTGGCGTCCAAGATACAATGACTTCCCGTTGCCGCTCGCTGCGGGCTGGCCCCGAGATTCAGACGGAGTGTACTGAACCAAGTGGGTTGAGGCGTCAAATCTTCCGCAGGGGCATCACACTAAGTTTGTGCTGCTTTTGCTACTTGTGCTGTTGTGGCGTCCCTTCCCAGATGTTCGGCTCGACTGTGCCATATCCGAGCCCGATCCTAGCCTCAGTCCCATATTTCGGGCTGGGCTATTCCAGAAAAGAAAAAAGTGCGGCCCGTGGGAAGCCAGACACTGCCGGGCGATGAATGAGCATGGATCTCGACTCGTCCCAACATGTGCGAGTTCTCGGATATCCTGCCAATCCATGTCCACAATGGCAGCGGGCGGCTGTGCGCTCGGCTACCAGGATGCGGACTATATCGGACGGTAGATACGAGATTTAGTACGAGGTTTTGAGAACGGATATTGGGGATATAGGATCTTGAGATGATCTAGGGGAGCTTATTCTCCCTTGGCGCTAAACTCTTCTTCGGCATTTGGACTGGACTTGGGACCGATTCAGGCAAACACTGGACCCACTCTCGGGGAATCGAAGAGATCCAAGGCATTGTTGTTCCATGTGGTCGGAAACATTATGAGAAGACTGGCGACACAGTTTCGACGTAGCTTTCGTGTTCCATGTTCCATCTCCCGTTGAAGGGTCCGGTACGGCCATGCTTCAACGTGGCCTTCCTGTCGCATCACTAATGCAGGGCCCTCGTGGCAAGAAACAATGGCATCCTGCTGCTGATCTCCCTGACATGTGTAAACGAATGCGCCTGTTGAAGTCGGCGAGAACGCATTGTGGTGCCTAGTGGACCTAGCGGCTCTCTAGCGCTCTCTGGCGTGAAGGGCGATGTCCAAGAGCGAGGCATTTTAACGTGGCCGGGATTAAGACGTAAGTCACTTGTTGGGGTGCATCCGAAGATTGGTGCCGGGAGTCCGAATGGGAGTATTTGGAATGTCGCGTTGGTTGCTGAGAGAATGACTCTCAAAGTTTCCAGTCTGTGTTCAAAATGCCGGGGACTACTTGCACGTCGTTACTCCGCGCTCCGAACTCCGCAAAGCAGTTGGCCTGTGCAGCAACATTCTGAACGTGGGTCGCGCCTGCCCGTTATAGGATGACAGCGCCCCGAGCGTCACCATCTAATGGTTATCCGTAGCGTTCGGCGAACCTATCCAGAGGTTGACAGATTTCTTCGCCAAAACAACCGTGGGAGAAGCCGTTTCGGCCGGCGTCGACCTTTCAACCCATCTTCCCACGCTTCGAGATCTTTGGATAGCGACTGTCCAGGAGAGCACTGACACCCTCGATAGCCTGCAGTCCGAGAACAGGCGACATCACATGCCCCAGACTCCCGGAGGACCAGGACGAGCGTCGAGGTCCAACCACTTCAACTGCCCCAGCGTGACACCCACCGGTCACCGTGAATACTACATTGCGCACTGACAGCACCCGTATGGTCAAAGATCCAGTCTTCACCAAATTCCCATCTTTCTTCTCCGAGTGGACGCAGATAAGGGCGATTTGACATCTATGTAGCACGGGTCGCCCCATATCTAGCTCTGGTCCTGGTCATTGACGACACTGATGAAATGAACCTCGAGCTTTGGCCACAGGCTTACCAGACTGACTCGATCTTAGATGGTATTATCAATCATCTAATCAGCTTCCTCCCGTCACACATGATATTCAACATTACGACTGCCACCCACGGCCATTCTCAACCCCACGGGCCACAATTGCATTGACACGGCCAACACACTTCTCAACCAGCCACGTGCAATGATGAAAAAATTTATATATTGTGGAATAATTGCCACCCTACGATGAAACCCTTCACCACGAAAGTAAATTGAACTATGTACACAGTTGCCGGAATGTCCGGCCAGCTAACGTGCACCCTTGTGCTGTCTACTCGACAAAGACTTGCTTTTCCTTCTTGAGTTTCTCAACAAACTCAATCGGGACCTTGAGCGCCTGAGACACAACATCCGGAGGTGTAAGAGCAAGCCATTGAGTGAGGGGAATGTCGGCAACGCGGTCAGATTTGTAAATCTCAATCCAAATCAGATCTTCAGTCTTGGAGGTGTTTTCGATGTAATGTCTGGATTAGCGTTAGCCCGTCGACGCTCCTCGCAAGAATACCGCCATTAAAGGGCGAAACCCTTACCCAGAATTGTCAGGGAAGACAGCAGTATCGCCAGCTCTGAAATCAAAGGTTCTGGCATTGGCGTTGCCAATGAATGCAGTGGCTCTGGCCGTCCCTTGATGAAAGTATAGCCATTCCTCAGCCTGTAGTCTGTAGTGTTAGCAGTGAACTGGGATAGCTGATGCAGGGGTAAGTTATACATTGGGGTGCCAGTGGAGTTCTCGCAGGCCACCTGGCTTGAGGGTCACAAATGTCGCCGCAATCGTCTTGGAAATCGGGAAATTCGTCGAGTCAATCTTGCGGAACACACCTCCCTGGCCTCCAATCTTCTCAGCGGGGTGCTCCAAGGTACGGTAAACAAACGAGCTATTTCCCGATGCAACCGGAGTAACAGCACCAGTGACATTCTTCTCGCTGACGGTGGCGTTCAGGATGTATGGGTTAGGGGTAGGGATGTTATCGAAGACGGATTCAGGGACTCCAAAATTCTTGGCCAAAATATCCTTAGGGGTATGGGCCAGCCAGTCATCGATATTGAACGTGGTTCTGCAGTCAAGTCAGTGGAAGTGCGTCAGTCATACTTGTACCTGGATTTGCGTACCCAACTTTGTCGAAATCGCCCTCATCAAAGACGAGGAGGAACTCGTTCTCATCTTCAAGACCCTGTACGGTATGGGCGACACCCTTGGGGAAGTACCAGATGTCACCATAGTTCAACTCTTCAGCCTGATATTTGCCGTTTTCGTCGACTGCAGAGACAAGGACGCGGCCTGTGTATACAAATCCCCATTCAGCCTAAAGTGTAGTTTGTAAGCACAACACTATGGGTTGGGTTGATGGACGAACAACTTACAACTCGGTGCCAGTGAAGTTCTCTGATTGCGCCCTTTTTCAAGTGCTGTTGTGCGCCAGATATATCGTGACTCTGAGGCAGATCCTGAACAACCTGCTCTCGCACCCAACCACCCTTGAGGATTCTGGTCTTAGAGTCGGAGAAGCTCCACTTCAGGTTTGGAACAATTCCATTGTCTGTCGACTGCCGGCCCAGGTTGTCGGGGTTCTGCAAGTCAAGCTCATGGTTGGTGCCACCTGGGCCACGGTCAGGTTGACGGAACGCTCAAGTTCAACAGCTTGCAACAAACTAACCGCTGATAGGACCTCCCTTGCCAGTCTTGCTAATCGGGAGACCTTGGGCAAACTTGTCTTCATCTCTGCTCTCCAATCGAGGCGCAGCCAGTGCAGAGGCGGCGAGGTACGAGGCTACAAGAGCCGTTACAGAGGTAAACTTCATAGCTAATGATGACAACTAGCCAAGTGGTTATGGCTCATCCGAGTTTCGAGGCCGTAATGTGTGACTATAGGAGAGGGAGAATGGTCATTTTCGGAAACATCAATTCATGCCGGTGCATTGGTACTATTTATGTTGGGCTCTTTTATGAGCAAAAACACCGCGTGCAGCAACCGGCAGATCCCAAGTTTCGCGAATTATGACGCAAGATTTTCTGTCTCAAGGACATTTGGATCTGCACAACGAACATTCACTTCATTGAACCCAAAATGGCGACATTCGCCCAAAGAAACCTGTTCAGCGACCGATGGCCCTATCGCCGGTTCCAGCCCTGCAGTTGCGGTCGACTCAACCCGTCCAACAACAGTCAAATGTCTTACCCTCTCTTTAAAAGCTGACCCGAAAAGCAGTAGCGGCCTCCTTGTGCATTATAACCTTGTCCCTACCAGCGCATTGCCCATGGCACAATGCTTGGTGTGGCTTACAGCTCTGATAGTCGGACTAGATCACGCCATCCAACCGTGCTATGGCCTTAGCCCAATGGCGTCTATGGATCTTCCCCCGCGATACTACGATTCTACATGTGTGGACGAATTATATATCTCCAATGCGTATTAGTAGGCTCGATGTTTGTACTGATGAGGGAACGCCAAGTTCCAATTCTGATCGAGGATACAAGTTAGCTTGACCAAATCCTACTGTCGGGACGCCACTCGCGTCGCGCGGCTGTCTCAACTATTTCATTTCGGCACTTGAGCAAGCCCACAGCCTACTAATTGCCCTCATTTCGAGTAGGCAAGTTTTAATGGTCAAAGTCCAAAGAATGAAGGATAGACGGTATCAATTGGCGAGCTGGCATGGCCGCGTGTACTTGATCTTGGTGTGCTGGGAACAATTACATATGTATGTAAGATACTCTCGGCACATATTCGACCTTCTACTTGCTTACGGGATTGAATTTCGCAATTTTAATATCTAGAAAGAGTATTCGAATAACTCATAGTAGGGAGTGACAACGGCAAATTTTCGATTTTTCCCTACTTCATCATTCAGTCTGGCTGATTTTTTATATGATGCCGTTATATGCAACCAAGTTGACTGTGCCGTCCTTAACAGCAGTGGCCTTGTCACGGGTTCCGAGAGAAAGAATGCTAGCCTTCAACTCCTCTGCAGTGTTGATGTTTTTAGCAACTGCCAGATAGGCGGCCAGCCCAGCAACATGAGGAGCCGCCTGAGAAGTTCCGCTCCCTCTCGCAGTCTGTTGCCAGGAGCGAGGGACAAGACGTCCACGCCAGGAGCCAAGATGTGAACAACGGGGCCGTGGTTGGAGTGATCCCATAGCCGCCAGTTGGCATCAATGGCGCCAACAGTGATGCCATCAGGGGAGGAGGCGGGAGACCAGTCTGAGGCATCGACACCCATGTTCCCAGACGAGATGACGCACAGAATACCTGCGTCGTACGCGGTCTTTATTATCTTGTTCAGAGCAGTAGAGTTTCCGCCGCCTGTTGGGGGGAAAAGAATATCGTCAGTGATGCGAGCTTCGACGGGCGACGACGGACAAACTGTCACCTACCAAAAGACATGTTGACAACGGTCCGGTTCTGAATCTGCTTAGCTGTAATGTCCTTGATTGTCCACTCGATTCCGTCCAGGATAATCGCATTGGTGCTGCCTGCGTCATGGAACATCTTGACATCTACCAGCTTAGTCTTCTTGGCAACACCGTATGTCTTGCTACCAACAATGCCAGCAACGTGAGTGCCGTGTCCTTGCACGTCTTCGTCTGTGGCATCCTTGACAGCATTATACCCGCGAAAAGCACGACCCTCGAATTCTGGATGATCCACCTGAATGCCACTGTCGAGAACATACACGGTAGATCCCTCGCCGGCACTACTGTCATAGACATATTCGGTTGCTCCGGGTTCTCTATGGGAAACAGTAGCAAGGCCATGAGTTGAGTCCTTCTGGGTGGTCAGTTCGTGCAGATGATACACTTGCTGCTGCTCGACGCTCTCAACCTTGAAACATTTCCACGTCAGTCCCCAGATTGTGACGCCCCAGACTCTCGTCCTTTGCTATAATTTGGAGGGGCCTTACGTCAGCGTTTCTCCGGATAGCTTCCAGGGTATGCTCGTCAAAGTGGCCAGCATAGGCGTTGAAGTTTCCGACACCGTACGTCTTCTCTACACCGCGGAAGTTGAGTCCCCGGCGACGGCCGGCTCTCGCCACTTGAACATCCCGAACCCAGTTCAAGTGGAAGTTGAAGTCATTCGCGCTAATACCGTCTTTCAGGGTAACAATGTACTTGTCCGGGACCAGATTGGCAGCGCTGCCAGCTTGGGGCGTGGCATTGCCGAGCGGAAGGGCTGCTACCAGCAGCGACGCAAGAGTTTTGAACGAAAACATTATTATTCTAACAGTGACACACTATATAAAGTGTTGAGAGTTTTTTGAGTTTTTTTTCAGTCACGGATTTCATCATGAGTACGACGATGCCCTAGTTATATACTTCTACCACGCTCTTGTGGACCATGAGGGAGCAGTCGCATTTTCCAAATGAGGCATGTGGCTATGAAGCAACCTGGGCTGGAAGGTATATTTTACGGTCCGTAAGTCCACTCCCGATTCAAAAGTCGTAACAGTACAAGGTTTCGGGGGGTTAGGATCTTACAACTAGCTTGTGAAGGCAGCAGACGACACATATAGACCATTTCTCCATCTCTACCTGTCGCCGTTCCCACTGATAACATGCAATGGCGGCCGGACCAGGAAGCTCGAGCCATGGCTAAGAGTCGTTATTTCTGAGGAAATGCTTTGAGCTTCCCTTTGAGGACAATGACGTCGAGGCACACGCAAGTAGCGTAGGGGCAACAGGAAATGATTGGCACCGCGCATGAAGGAAGCTACTACGCCCACCACAAAAAAAAAGGTCAGACAAAGCCGTCGGATGCTCAGTGGCCGGGGAATAAGGTTGATTTGGCTTTTGGCTGCAAGCCACCGTGGTTCAAGCGGCAGTTGACCACTTGAGTGCGTCTCGTGTTGTGACGGCACCGACGGGAGACTCCACCGACCTCAGTCAAGCTCAAGGTTGACTTGCCTCTTCTGGAAGGCGTTTTCGTCTGGCCATGTTCAATCAATGATGGCCGACGTTGACTGCGACTTGGCGACTCGGCGACTGTATTTGCTGCTTGCTTGCTGGAAGCGTTCGAAGCGAAATCACATCAGCACCAGACGCACAGAATATGAGCTGCGCCTGATTGGCCAGGGCGACGCAGCCCTGTTCGGAAATCTCGCCACCGAAGCTGCAGTTCGTGGTCAAAATCACGCTAGGCCGTTGAGTAGGTAGTTTCCCAAAATGAGGGAATGGACCATGTTTAACAGATTGATGGTTTTAAGCTTACTTGCTCCAGATTGAGACTCAGGGTTCAGGAACCCCTTTGCGGCCACAACACTCGGTACTTCCTTCCATCGCAATGCTTATGTGGCATGCACGCCAAGCCAAAAACCAACCATCAAGGTCCCCTCGCGAGCAGCTCACGCTGACAATGCCTCCCAAAACAAAGGAGGAGGGAATGTTTGGTTGGAGCTGCACACTCTTTTCCTTCTTCTTCTTCTTCTTCTTCCCGTCCTTCGTAAAGCCACGTGCGAATATTGCTCGTCAATCGCATACGACATGAGGATCACCACATTGCGGCAGGTGGTAGTGAGTCCACTTGTGTTTGCATTGCTTGGCGGCTTGGGCACGACCTTGGCGGCGCAGGACGAGAAGATCCCCAACGGCCCATCTGGAGCCCGTGCGGTTTGTGAATCCGCCTCTGTATGCACTTGCTTGACAACGGCGAACTGACTTTGTCCACTCATCCAGCCCCAGGAGACCGTGGTTGAGATTCGCCATGTCGACCTCACGCTCGAGCAGTCATTTCAAGTCGCCGAGGCATCTCGCCACGACATTGAAAAGGAGAGGCTGTTGTCGATAATGGCCAGGGATCACGGGACATGGTCGCCAAATCATCCGCGTTATCGCCTTCTTGACGCGCTTCACGGCTTCTCTAAGTATTACGAACGGCAGCGGGCCGACGTTGATCGGCTGCGAGGCCTGTACAAGTATGCGTCCAAATCTCAGAAACAGGTGCGCTTCCAAATTTAAAAATCGAGCTTATGCCAAGTTACATGAACTTTTGTTTTTGACAGCGGTTTCCGCAATGTGGAATAGTTTCTAGAAAAACATCTCGCCTACTCTTCCAAATTTAAAACGGTTGAGCAAAAGCTGGCCACGAATCAGCATGTCTGCGACGACATTGTCCACGCTGCCATGGAATTCTACAACGTTGGGACGAGCGAGCTCAAACGTCACATGGCGGACAGAGAGGCTGAGGGCAAGCACGCAGACAAGATCTCAGTTTCCCAGTCGTTGAAACACATTGTTCGCGATTGGGCGAGCGAAGGGTTGAACGAGAGAAACGCAACGTTTGCCTGTCTTGCCGGTACGCTGCGCCGACTGTTTCCCGATCGGAACCTCTTGAAAGAGGATGTGCGCATATTGCTGCCGGGGGCCGGTCTGGGCAGACTAGGCCACGACATTAGCCAGCTTGGTGGTAAGTCCAGCGTGTCCCACGAGATGTCTGCAACTTTCTTGTTCTTTTCTTTCTAAACCGGACCAGGATTCGAAGTCACTGTCAATGAGTGGTCCATGTATATGAATGCCGTGTATAGATTCATCGAGGCCCAAAACACGCCCCTGTCGCAGTCCGTTCATCCCTTTGTCGATGGTTGGTCGCATCATGTATCCGACGACAACATGAATCGTGCCGTCCCCTTCCCAGACGTGCCCATCGACTCATCTAGAGTTCTCATGGTGGAAGGAGACTTTACCACCGAGTTCAAAAATCAGTCGGCGTACTACGACGTAGTATTGACATACTTCTTCATTGACACGGCCAGAAATCTCATGTCGTACTTTGACACAATCAGCCATGTCCTCAAGAAGGGCGGCATCTGGATCAATCTGGGACCATTGCTATACGGCACCAGTCCTTTTGTCCAACTCAGTCTGGAGGATATAATTGCCATTGCCAAGGAGATGGGCTTTCAGTTTCTAGAAACGGATGACTTTTGCGGAGAGCCCACGTTTTCAGAGCCTACAGTGAGGAGTATGGAGGCCGTGTATAGTTTTGACCACATGGCCTTGACGAAGAATGCATACAATGCACAGTTTTGGGCAGCCAGCAAATTATAGGGCCGCAGATACAGATCTGTCAGATACACAACGGAAATGGACCATGGGGAAACTCCATTTTTGATAGCGTTAGTTATCCTATATCCCTTCTGCTGCTGAGTATGTACAAACTAAGTATCCCAAGTACGCGCCAGTTCTCCTTGCCAAGTCCATGGATATCTATCCCTGGACCGGCTGTCCAGTAACTGGGTTGTCGCCAGGCAGCTTGTCGAGAGTGCCGTTGAATCCAATCTCCTCGTTGGGAGGCGGGACCTCGACTGGTTGACGGCTCGAACGCCCGGGGCCATCGGGTCCAACGTTCAAGCTGCAGCCGGCGTCATTGACGCCATTGGGGCCAGTGCAAGTCTCGATGGCACGGTCAAGTTTGGCCTGGTCCGCCCAGCCGTTGAGGTAATCGCCGTGCAGGCCGTACCCGGTGGGATCGCCCATGGCCCAGACCCAACGGTTGAAGTCTTTTACGGCGCCAGTGTTGTAGAAGAATTCGAAAAATACGGAGAGGATGGCAACGGGGTGGGATTGAGGGCACACGCCGGTGTTGTAGTCGCCAACCGCCGGGAAGGCCATCTAAAAATTGCCTCCGAGTTAGTCTCTTGTTTTATTCTCTACCACACGCAAATAGACTGAGCAACGCAGCTTGGCCTACATGGCTCTTGTGGTCGCGGCTGTCCAGGTTCTTTCCATCCCAGCAGGAAGGGAAGAAGGTCTCTGCTCTCATGCGAGGGCACGGTTTTGCGGGCAGGTGAGGCGTCTCGCCGCCATCCGCACCGAGGCAAACGTGCGAGATGGCCCTCTGCTCCGGGTTCGACTTATTATACGTCCTAGTATCCCCGGGTCTGTCAGCTCCGCAGCACAGCAGCGGTTGAGCTTTCCGGGGAGTATAAACCTCAGAGTTGGATCGCCGACAACCATGCGCAGCCCCTTTGGCGGAGCCTTGGCATGCGGTGCGTTTTTGCAGTTTTGCTTGCCGGGGGCATAGTCACAGGCTCGATCAATGTAATACGCAGCCTTTGCCACCAGATGGTTAGTACCAGAGTTTACATAAATACAGACCAGAAGGGGGGGCTGATAGTTGGCAGTAGCAAAAACACAACGTACAGTGCCCTGCATCTCGACGAGCTCAAACTTGCCATCCCGGCGCTGATGGTACAGCTGAGGCTGCCAGTAGTTGCTCTTGTCGAGATGCTTGTCGCACGTCGTGGCCTTGGCCTGGCTGGCCTGCTCGTTGGTCAGGTTGAGAGAAAACCGGGTGCCTCCAACAATGGCGTGCACATGGGGGGAGATGACGCCGGGGAAGATGATGGGATCGCCGCGGTAGAAGGTCAGCGGCGCGCAGTTGACGGTGAACAGCTGGGCGATGGAGCCTGGCGCCAGGGCCGAGGCGACGGCAATGGCCGACTTGACACGGATCGACACCATGGTGAAGTGTAGCAACGACGGAGACAAGTGAAGCCCTTGATATTCCGCAGGGTGGTTTGCTGCGAAGCGGGTTGAGACGCAATTCTATATCTCGAAGCGCGCAGAGCAAGAAGGGTATATATACTTTATGCCCCTTGACTAGATGCTACATGTTGCATTAATTCCATGCCCCTTTGCAAATGGGTATGAAGTTTAAAAAAAAAAGGGACCAGACGCCTTCGCAACCAACATGCTAGTCCGAGCATGCCGCACGGGAGCTAGTGCCACGACTATTCTATGACGTCTTATTGGAGGCCAATGTATTCTAACTCTATTCAGAGCCGAAATGTCCAAGACATCATGAGGACTGTAGACCCCTCGTGTCATGCTCACCGCTGGCAGTCATCAGTGTTGGCATGGGCGGTTTCCAAGTTTTTCCCCCCTGGCGACGGCTGCAACTGACTCCAACTTCCCAAAGGGAGCTCTTGGCCGCGAAATAGCCATTTGCAAAGCGGCAAAGAACTGGGTTAACTGCCCTTGGATGCATGAATTTTCCCGGGTTGACGCCGACACTAGGAGCCTGGTAGACTTAGGTCAAGCAGGTTGCGGAATCCGCGGCGGTTGGGAATAGCGGCAAGCAGGCGGACGACATGTCCTCGTGCTCCTTGAGGGACAGGTTCGGTGAGAGATTTTAATAAAAGGGCATGTTTCCGTATGGCCGATACGACCAGACGAGTCTCGGTGCTCGACGGAGTGTCTTCGGTGCCATTTTGCAACGGTTGCATGCTTTTCTACAGCCTAAATAGGACCAGTCGGTGGTGTATTGTCGTTTGGCCTGTTGAGAATACTTGGCGATGGAGCAAAGGCCGAAGCGGACGGGGAGCATCGGGCTCGATGGCATCGACGGCACGTTGAGGTCGGCTATTGACGATGAAACAACAGCACGGTTCTGGTTGTGCGTGTTCTTGTTCCCGAGGCTGCGACGAATTGCGCCCTGTTGGACATTTCGAGATGGCAACAGTGTATCTCTTGGCCTGCAGCGCACTTTCCTCCTTGGCAGTAGATATATGTGAAGGGCGAGTACGTTGCGAGGGGATGATGGAAAAGTATCAGACACCATTGATTCTCGTCACGCCCCCTTCTTGGATTCCTCCACGATGTATAATATAACACACAATGCCAACCATAGCCAGACCCTGCAGGAGTCTTGATAGTGTAAAAAAAGACCAAGCTATATCCAGACGGCGAATTACTGCGCCAAGGTGCCGTTAAGCCCGTCCGTCAGTTTAGTTACGTGACGTCAAAGCCGGCCAACAAATCCCCCTTCAAATCCCACGGTGGAATCCCTCACAGCAGGTTCACCGTGATGGAAAAAGTCAAGTCCAATTCGTCTCGCCTAACCCATCCCCCCTTCCAAGTTGGCACCTCGTATGCCACTCTGGCCTCTGCTCAATGCGACACTTGTACATGACTGAAGATGCGCCGTCAACAGAGGACCACGAGACCGCTCGATTTGCCGACATTTGTTGGCCGAGGGCCGGCCGTGTCCCTTGTATACCAATGGCTTCCCGGTGCCCACGCCATCCATGCAGTTGTGGTCGTATGCGCGGAATGCCAACACATAAAGGATGGATGGATGGATGATGGATGGATGATGGATGGATGGGGAGGGGAGCATTGGCAAACACGTGAAGCCGAGTAGCTTCAATGGCACTTTGCGGGAAAATGGGCATCGCGGCGCAGTGCTCACTCGTCGCCTTTACAGCCTGGAATCATTTCAAGCATGGCGGAGGAAAGGCTTGGGATGAAGCCTGTTGGCGGGTTGTATAAGCGAAACATATCGACACTTAGGAGTCAGGTCCGCGCTGGCCGGCAATCTACCCTTCCCCCGCTGCCCGCAATCGTCTCTCGGCTTTTGACCTGGGGTATTGCAGAAGGAGAAAATCGAGACGGGAGTGGCGGGCTGCATGGCATGGTACCAGGCGGCGTTTGAGGCTGCTGTTGCCGCACCACGTGGGCCGTGGCGGGAATCGAGGTGATTTTCAAATTTCGGGACTCGGCTGCTGTCGTCTTGCTGTTGTGTACAGAGGCAGAGACTGCCCTCTGACACGGATTGACTTGCGGGAGAGAGAAGGACATCGAGTCGAGTGCTCCCTGCCATGATGCCTTTGCTTTACGCGGACGAGAGAATTCCGCGGCACGGCTTACAAGACTAGACGGCACAAGCCTCGGATGGATATATATAATACTTGACATCTACGCTGGCATGTATACACGGTATTGGCTCTGAATTTGGGCACATGGCTTCAACCTTGACAGCACTTGAGAATTGGTTGGACCCTGTAAAGCAGTTTCGAGTTTGTACGTCGCCTGCCAGAACCATCAGGGACTTTGATTGAGGAAGCATGGAAGACGCCATGACATAGGCTTCAGGGAGTTTGGAAAGGTATTGAAAAAAAAATTAATATACTTTGCATCATGGCACACCCGATAGGCTCGTTGCCGTACATGTCCAATCATGCTTCTTCTTCCTTCCTCTCTCCCGCAGTCTGCGAACTATTTGAAGATGGAGCAGTCCAAGTTTTGAATTCCTTGGCCGAAAGCTTGGCTTCAAACATGCCATCAATTTCTGCCGGAGTGCGGCCTTTCATCTCCGGAATATAAAAGTACGACAGTACGCCTGCAGCAGCACACAGGCCGGCAAAGATGAAGCCAATCTTGGACTTGAGGTTGGCCGCGTCGGCATTGTAAAGGTAAGGCGTAAAGAAGCCAAAAAGGGACGCAGCCGCACCAGCCGTCAGCCACCCAATACCTTGCGACTTGCCTCGCAAGTGCAGAGACGACGTTTCTGCACCAACCGCATACGAGGCCGGCCATACGCTGAGACCAGCCACGACAATAATTGCAGTCATGCTGAATGCGGTATATCTGGATGCGGCGTGTTAGCAAAGTCGGCCACGTCATACTACGGAGAGGGGAGCAAGTACGAACATGATGGTCGGCTGTTGGTCCCATATGCCGGAAATGCCCATGGTAAGCCATAGAAAGGAGACTCCCCAGAGACCACAAAGAATCAGGCGGCGTCGTCCCACGTGGTGCAGAACCCATATACTGGCTGTGTTGGCCAGCAGGCCGCAAACAATGCCAACGATTAACAGAACAACACTCATGTTTGCCGAGATGCCGACCACCTGGGCAAAATAGCTAGCTTTGGCCAGCAAGGCGAGGCCAAAGACTTGCGGCAACGCTCCAGCCAACATGACGATCAAGGTTCTCCTCAAGTTGGCGCGCTTGAAGCAGTCAATATAAGTCGCCTGCGTCATCCTTCGTTCGTGCTCGATGTTTCGTCGGATAACATCGACAGTCTGTTGGGCATCTCCGCCCACGGGCTCAAGGTATTGCTGGGATTTGAGTGCCTGGGCCATCTTGCCCTTGCGAACAAGGTAAGTTGGGCTCTCGGGGATGAAGAATGCCACAATCACCGGCACGATGGAGAAGGGCCACTGTGACGCAAAGCAAACAACATATCCATTGGGCATTTCCATGCATCCGAAAATAACGGCGGCCCCAATCAACTGACCTAGCAGAGTAAACATGGGGAAGAAGGCCAAGATTGGTCCTCGAAGACTCGGGGGCAGAACCTCGGACATGTACGTCTGCGTTGTTGTTGCGACAATCCCAATGGCAAGCCCTTGAAACGCCTTGCCCGCCAAGAAGACGCCGCGCCGGGTGTCAAGGTCGGACGGCACGTACGAGACATAGCATATAGCAACTGCAATGGTTGACAAGAAGCATCCGACAGCGATGGAGGCTCTGCGTCCGACCGAATCCTGAATTTGACCGCCGCAGAAGGCGCCGATGATGGACCCTCCTGGACTTGCAAACGTCCACAGGCCCAGCCACAACGAGGGCAGAATCCAATGCCCATCAAGCCTGCGTCCAAAGTCTCGTCTGTTCACACGAGTTATTCAGGGGTTCGCTCGACGACGTGGTAGCCGGCATGCGGGGAAGGAAAAAGCAAGAGTTGCAAAACCTACTGGAAGCTAGGCATGGCAGACGTAGTGCCAACGATGACATAGTCGTAGCCAAACAACAAAATGGTCGTGGTCAAGCCAATGCAACACCAAACAACGTTCTTGTAACGCTTTACCGACTGCCATAGTGTCAAGTTGGCGGATCCGTCTCTTTCAACGTAATCGACAGACCCGCCCGCTTTCCTGTCGCTGTCACGACGATCCATAACGGCGGTAGTATATTGTTTGTCCTCCCTTGCTTGGCTACAATCGACTTCTTTTTGAAACAACATGAGGGGAATGGCACGAGTCGTTTTAGCACGAACCGGCCTAGCGACATCAACAGTCCATATGTAGCAAAAGGCCGGGATGACCGATACCTTATAGCAAAGATAAACTGGTGCCAAGGAGTGGCCAAAGAGGGGTGGACATGAAGATCATGACTCCAGACATGTGCCATCCCCTCCCCCTTTGGCCATCCAAAAACGGGGGCCATTGCAACTCTACCCCAGCCTTGGTCCAACACTAGCCTCAGACTCGGCAGTGCGCGGAGGAGGCTCCATTTCCTACATGTATTCCCGATGGCATTGCCAAGTGAAGCTGGCCGCTCATTTCCAGTGGCACGTCGGCGTCGACCGCCTGCGGGTTAGGCGAGGGGACGCCACGGCCCAAGTATCGTTGTCGATTCGAGAACCACCTCCAGAAAGGATGGCTTCTGCGCTGTTTCGATCTAGGGACGACCAATGAGCAGCCTCACGCGTAAATCCGTAGTCTGCTTGGATTGCTCAGATCCGCGTGGTGGCTTGCGTTGGCTGGCGGATGTTGGCACAACCCGGGCCACCAGTTCTGGCTGAATCCGATCTCGAATGTGGGGTACCGCATAATAAGCGTCGTTCCATACGGAGAGGTGGGTTCGTGGTTGGGGGAATCTTGCTTGGCATCTCTGGAGGGTTGAGATGGCTCGGCCGATTGACATCTGAAAAAGTTCCGTACCGCTGTTTGGATTTTGTATTTTTGCCGACAGTCGGCTCCAGGTGAGGGCCCATGCTAACCTGCAGTCGATTTGCACTATTGAAGGCGCTGTGTTGGGAGGTCGTGACAAGTAGCCAATTGAACCAGGTAATGCCGACCGGACGCCCGTCGCTCTTTCCCACATTGAGTTATTCCACAAGATAACGCCCAAGGCAGACACTCAATCACCTTTATCTGTGACGATTTCCCCTTGGATTGTTCGTCAACCTCTTTCTTGGCCATATCAGGACAGCCGCGGCACGGACGTGTTCGAGCGACGAACCACTGACCACTACCCTACACGACAGCGCTAATCCTTTGCCAAGTCCAAGCCACGAACCATTGCGTTGCGTGGCCGCTTGAGAGGTGTCCGGCGCAGATTAGCGGGAAAATCCGCAAACCCCTCCGGATTTCAAACCCCGCGATCAATTTGGGGTTTGACACGACCTCGATCATCTAGGAGGCAACAGCCGTGTCCGCTCAGCATCGATCGGCCTGGTTCCACCGCGTCTCTGCCGTCAGACTTGCGCAGCTGCCAGAATGCCTTTCTTTGGGGTCTCATTGGAGACCTTGTCCGCTCATCGTCCCATGGCCATGACAACGCTGGCCCTGGTACCCGTCGTCATCCCCGTGAGTTATGTCTTGTACACGAGCTGGACCGTATATCGAAACACCACATCGACGTCTGGCACGCTTGCCTCTCGCCAAGAAGCATTCGCCTCTGCGACGTCACATCCAGCGGAGCCGCACAGCCTCCCGGCCGAAGTCAAAGATGATCCGTCTCGGTGGGTCGTGACATATGAAAGAGTCGTCTCGAAGCCTTTGTCGCCGTCATCCCTTGCCTATCGACCAGAGAAACCGCAATCCTCGGGCCCGACAACTCAAACGTCGAGGCTGCTGCAAGAGGTGTCGAGAAGTATGCAAAAGGCCTTTAGCCGGACTCCCCAAGCAATCATTATTCGTGGCGCACTGTCGGAGCCACGGAACAAGGGCAGCTTCGATGGAGCATGGATCGATAATCTGTGCTTCCAACCCGGCGACATTGTGAATGGTGTATATAGAGTGTCTTGTAGCACCAAGGAGCAAACGACGGGGTCGGAACGGGTAGAGCTCCTCATTGACATTCCGCCGTCTTACAAAGGCCCTAGGGTTCGGGGTCTCATTCTGGCTGCCATTGAGCCTGCTTCTGGTGCGAGGACAAGTCACAAAGGACCTGCTGAGGAGAGGATTGTTCTCGTCAATGAGACATGGATGTGGCGGCTCGCAGATGAAAAACCCACGCTGCTTGAATCTTCAATTGGGCGGTGGTTCCACCGTCTCCTGGCTGGATGGCTTATTCTCAAAGGAGTTTCGGGAGTCTATGGGAGAAGGAAGGAAATGTGATGATGAGTGAATCACGGAACCTCTGCGAGAGTGGGTTGTCACTTCTGCAGCAAACAACTCTTGCATCATACATGGTAGAATCTCCTTGCATGAATATTTTGCCGTATAATGCTCCGTACATACAGCTTGAAGCTTGGCAATTTTTTTGCTTCTTTCCTTGTGTTCTTGCAGCAAGTGGGGATCGGGACAAGTCGGAACATGGTCACTGACGACACTCCTGGGTAGGGATGAGTAATGAGCAACGGGGTTTTTAAGCAACAGAGTCATTGACACAGTTTCTATTTAGGAATATGTAAAAGCGGCCGTCGAACAATGTAGCGCGAGCGGAAGGCAAAAAAGAAAAGACAAAAAGAACAGACTAAGCTAGAAGTCCGTGTCCTGGGGAGTCAACTACACGGTGACAGTGCTGGGGAATTCGTAGACACCAGCTTTGACCTAGAATAGAGTAGACAAGTGTAGGATCTCCAAGGGCGACCGACAGCCAAGTCCGCTACGTGTGTGAAGATAAAAAGACGGCGCTCAAAACGGCTGGATTTCATCTCGACATGTTTTACGGCGTCAGTGCGAGCAGAGCAGCAGAGTCTGGGCTCTGTATAAACATAAATTTAGACATGATACACGATTCTCCGACACGTCAAGTCCAATGTGATACAGGCCGCTGACTATCCATGGCGTCTCGTCTCCGAGATATGAGACTGTTACGTGGCAGAGTCGTATCGCGGTGGATATGAGGGCATAGTTAGTAGAGAGCCATGTAACGCGTCAGGAAGGACTAGATGCCGAAAATGTTTATTTTTTTTTTAAACTGCGGAAAATGTCAAGAACAGCACGCCCCCCCTGGGTATTATAGCTCCTCTGGGTTTGTCTACGAGGGTTTGTACGCGGAGGAATTACTAAACACGACGGCGTGGGTTGCATCCATGTCCGCCGGTGGCAAGACGGGTTGATCAGCGAGCATATCTCTGGGCCGCCGAGGAAATCGCTTCACGGCGGACACGTCATGCCCAGGTGTCCGGTCTCCTCTCGAGGCAGAATAGTGGACTTGAACGCAGTGGCAGTGGCAGTGGCAGTGGCATCGGCGGCAGGGAGACGGCAGCGTTGCAAGTTCGGTGGGAGGAGCAAAAGAAAATGGTGATATCGCCGGCCGGAATGAGGACAGGTGTCCGGGCTGGGCTGTGATTGGCCTCGCCGTCCGGCACTTGGCACGCCACGGATCTCTAGTCGACGAGATAAGGTTTCAAGGCGGCTTGGACCTTTGTGGCAGCGCCAGCGCCAGCGGGAGAATCGCACGCAGGGTTTTGGGCAGGGAGAGGCTCGCAGCAGGTGGCACGGCGCCGCCATGATCGTCTGTGTGCGTGCAGCAATTGGGCCGACTGGTCCAGATGTCGGTTTTGGCTTATTTTGGGCAACGGGGGCGTCTGGGCATTGAAACGGCGACGTTTCAACATTTCAAGGCCGTGACGGCGAATGGACGAACGGGATGCGCGCGGCTGCTGGCATTGGGGGTCAAAATCTCAGCAGGACTGTTTTTGAGTTTTTTTTATGCTGGTATTTTTTTTTAATTTTTTAATTTTTTTTACAACCTAGTTCCGTACCTGATCGCGCAAGTATGTACATGGTTTATACAAGCGGGAAATACCCGTATATACCCCAGTAGTACTACGTACTACTTACTAGTACTATGTGCATCAAGGCGTATCCTTATCCTTATCCCTATCCTTGGTCCCGTCAAACCCGTCAACCAGTCAACTACGGTTCCGGGCCCAGTCAGGGGGTCTCTGCGGGTCGATTGAGGCCTGACTCGACCCATTGGCGCCAAAGCCGGTCCATGTTGCCTCTTTCTTCTTCCTCTTCACCCTCCGTCTCTCATCTTGCAGCTCAATGCAGCTTCCCAGCACGGGCGGCTTCACCGAACGGGCTCGGCAGATAACCCACATGGCCGAGCAGTTCCACGGCTGCCATTTGAGGCTGCAGCTGGGCGACCCGTCGCGATGGATGACGGGGCCGGGCGACGCATGCACGTACCGGGGGCGAGCGAGGAGTGCCGTGAGACCTGGCCGTGTTCTCTGTCGTTTTCCAGAACCTCTCGCATGTCGAGGGCTGCGCAGAATGGCCAATGGTGGTACATGCTGCGCGGCAGTGGCGCCGTTGAGACAAGATTGAAAACACCAGACATGCATGTGGACATGTCAAGTAGTTCGCGGCCAAACGTCTGCACACACCAATCAATGCAAGTGTGAATGAGCGAGGCACCTTCCAGTCTGGTTGAACAAAGGCCTCGCTTGACTCGGAAGACCCGGAGGGAGCACCGCCGCTCCCTGCACGTGGGCGCAGTGATGAATTTGATGTGATGACAAGACAGTCCTGGTCCAATGGGCATGCGCATAGGGCCGTTTTGGCTGGAGCGGCCAGTTGTTCTTTCCATGTCCACATCGATGTCTTCATGCCACCGGTGCCGTTGCTGTCGCAATCTCAGGGGTCAATGGTGGCTGGGCCACGCCGATCAAGATTAAACTTTCAATTTCAGCAAGCTGCTCTCTTTGTTGTATGCACATTCATCAATGTTGATTAATTGAGATCGGTCAGCCAGGGGGTGCCCGGCATTTCGACGAGCAGCAGCTGCAGCACACCCACTCATTTGTCGTCCCAAGATGCAGATAGGAAAATCGTGCATCCTGACGCCTTGGCTGGCTTGGCTAGGCTACACCTTGGCCGCCCCTTTTTGCACGCTCAGATATCCCTACCTGCAACGGTAGTCGTACATACGCATTGCTTGACATTGTACAACGAACACACACACATGTGCGTGCTCCGTGCTACACTGGTATTCCTGCACCTGAGGCAGAGCCGCCGCAGCACCCTGGGCGAGCGAGCGAGCAATTTACCGCTTGGCGCCCGGCGTGGTGGTGACTGATCGACTGCGCAGCCACATCCCCCCTGGCAGCGTCATGGAGAATCTAGAGTCGCATTCAAAAGCGCCGGCCGTCCCCGGCGCAGGCCTTCCCTTGCCTCCTTGGACGATTGTCGCCGTCGTAATGGCCATGGTGGCTCGGCGCAGAGGCGAACAATACAACGTACGTGTCGCTGCCGTGGCCAACAAGACGACGACGGCCTTTCGAGATGCACACAGACTGACAGACCCTGCTGACGCGCAACGCAATACGCTTGAAAATAAGAACGACGTCTCGGTTCCACAGTGGGAACACAGACACCCTCTCACTCGCTCGTCTTGCTGCAGAGAACCGTCCGGGAGCTGAATGCAGACGCCGCAGACGTCTGGCCCACGGGCGGAGACACGGCAATCGACCAGAGATGCAGATTGGGGGCCATGATCCGCCTGGCCTGTTTGAAGCAGCTTCTATTTCCGCAAGTGGTGTGCCAAACCCATGACCGCTAGTGTTCCGTCCACGACTGTCTGCGTTCCGGTTGGGCCATCAGAGCCTCCGCTCCGGCCGCGTTTCAAACCGGCCATCATGGCCATGGACCGAGTGTGTATGTATGGATGGATGTGCAGTATGTACACACACAAGTTGCATGTTGGAATACCTTGCTCAGCTCCACATGGAAGACATAAAACAATACACCACGATACGTCGAGTCACTGACGTGCACATGGGTGCGATAAGACAGACGTCCATCATGGTCCGGGCTGGTGCCGTACCAAAGTTTTGCCCTCTTCTTTTTTTGGGTCGACGACATGGTTCATGGTGCTTTGTTGCCGCAGCCACCTGCGAATCTCTCGGGAACATGGTCTTGTTGTTATCGTTGTCGTCGTCGTCTTCTCGATCGATCCATCACTCACCATCCTCCCCCTTTTGCCGGTGGCGTTTCCTCCACGGCCGATGATAATGAAACTATGCGAAATGGTGCGTTTCTTGCTGCACGGCCCCATTGCCACCGTCAACGACCCGCCTCGAGGCCGTTGAGGGGAATAAAAAGTATCATTGATGGCAATCACACCTGATGGACGCCCGAGCCAGTGAAGCATACTACGTGCCAGGAACGTGCGCCATGTATCTTTAGCATACGCTCAGCGCAGAAGATCCTCATCAGTCAACCCATTGCAGCCGTCAGGTTTACCGGAGCGTCTTGGCGCCGAGAATGTGTTTCCCTTGCGCAAAAAAGGGCCGCTCCACCACGTTGAGACATCGACACATCGTGGATACTACTAGTAGTACCCAGAGCACGCAGCAGATACTAGTATAGTAATACATCCAGTACAACACCCAATGTTTTATTTTCAACCAGGGCTCCCGCCAAGGTGGAAAGGAAACCAACGCACCCCCCCCCTCCCTTGCACTTTTCCCTTTCCCGGGACCCTCTCGCAAAGGCAAACTCGGTGGAACTCATCCACTTCCCGGGACCGGGTGGCCATGTATCTAGTATCTGTCTTTTCCAAATACTGCCCGAATCTTCATTCATGGCCAACCTTATTTTTCGTTAAAGAAGAACTGTCCTGACACCTCGTGGTGGAACTCTCTTTCTTCCCTGTTTTCATTTTGGCGTATCCGTCTCCACGGCTGGCTGTGCAGAACAAAGACGCCCTTTCTGCACCGTACGTCTTGCCGGGTTGGGCATGAATGATTGGATCGAGGCCGCTGCTTGTTCTTGGATTTTACGCTTTCCTTTATCTACATCTATGTGTCTCTTTTGACTTGCCAGTGTTTGTTCCACGCCAACTCCCCCTTTACTTTATTTTGTTAAAAAAGACCGGCCTACTTGCAACTATTTCGGTCCACGCCCATCATCAACCTTGGCCAACCTTATCCTAACCAGACGTCTCCTCTCTCTACTCTCTCCCTCTCCCTAAGAACCACGTCTCCCGAATCCTCATCCGCCCTGGTCTGGTTCTTCTCTTGTTAATATACATATACATATATACATAAAAGTGTGTCTCCTTCACCATGGACAATGACCTGCGGTCAAAAGCCTGGCCCGACCAAGAGGGCAGGCTGACCAGACATAATTCGCTCGAGGCATTCAGCAACCTGCCGCCGTTGAGAACCGACATCGATCGAAGCTACCCGGGGGCACTGAACGAAAAGGCCGACCCAAGGAGCATGGCGTCGACGCCGACGCTCGAGGCCCAGGACGAGGCCAAGGGCGGCCACGACCACGACCACCACGACCACGCGGGCGGCGTCGACATCTTCGACCCCAACCGACCCAAGCTCGGGTTCAAGCAGCGACTGCACCACTTCACCTGGGCGTGGTTCACGCTGCCCATGAGCACGGGCGGCCTGTCGCTCCTCATCTTTGCGCAGCCTCATCAGTTCCCCGGCCTCAAGACCATCGGCATGGTGGTCTACATCGTCAACATCATCATCTACGTGACGCTCGCGGCGCTCATGGTGGCCCGGTTCCTCATCCACTCGGGCGACATGTCCAAGTCGCTCAAGCACCCGCGCGAGGGCTTCTTCGTGCCGACCTTCTTCCTGGCAACGGCGACGCTCATCACCAGCTCGGACCGGTACGCGATTCCCAAAAACGACGTCGGCCTGGTGTGGGCGGTGCAGGGCGCCTTCTGGGCGTACGTGGTGGCGACGCTGATCCTGGCCGTGGGCCAGTACAGCTACGTTTTTGCGGCGCACAGCTTCGGCCTGCAGACCATGATGCCGACGTGGATCCTGCCCATCTTCCCCATCATGCTGTCGGGCACGATTGCCTCGGTCATTGCCGAGACGCAGCCGGCGGCGGCGGCCATGTCCATTGTCGTGGCCGGGCTGTCGTGCCAGGGGCTGGGGTTCGCGGTCGCCGTCCTCATGTACGCCCACATGGTCGGCCGGCTGATGCAGGCCGGGTTGCCGAATCGGGAGCACCGGCCCGGCCTGTTCATGTGCGTGGGGCCGCCGGCCTTCACGGCCCTCGCCGTCATCGGCATGGCCAAGGGCATCCCCGCCACCGCCAGCCAGAACCACATTGGCATGCCCGTGGACCTGACCACCATCCGCACCATGGCCCTCATCAGCGCCATCTTCCTGTGGTCCCTGAGCCTGTGGTGGTTCTTCATCGCCGTCATCGCCGTCGTCCAGTCCCTCCCCAAGTACTTCCACCTCGGCTGGTGGGCCATGGTCTTCCCCAACACGGGCTTCATCCTGGCCACCATTTCCATCGGCAACGAGCTGGGCAACGAGGGCGTCTTGTGGTTTGCCACCGGTCTCAGCATCTGTCTTCTGGGCATGTACTTCTTTGTCTTGTTCTTCAACATCAAGGCCGTCATCACACAGGACATTATGTACCCCGGGCGGGACGAGGATGTGGAAGACCACTAGAAGGATAAAAAAAGAGACGGGGTGCGGGAGCCAATACTATTTTTTTCCCTTTCTGTTAAAGCCAATTTTTTTGGAAATTTCCACCAGTCTTTTTTTTCCCCTACTCTGACGCTTACAAAAAAGTTGATGCGGGGGAAATACGTGTTTCAGGATACCTATGGCAGCGCGCCTAGCAGACGTTCGCTTCTCGGTGGCAAGCGACCAGACTTTGTTAGTTTAGTTTTTTAATACGCAGCATAGCACAGGCCGGTTTGATATTCAGCCACGATTCTTTTTTCCCTTTACATATTGGCATAAAACAAGAAAAAAAAAGACATGACACTGGAGGTGTAAAAAGACGTATAGTTCAATTTAAAAAAAAAAATGAAAAAAAATCCTTCGGCTTGACGGACCGAAAATGTTGCTAGCGGTGCTGCGTGAATCTTTAGATCCTGTGCATCTCCTGGCTTGAGACTTGGATGAGTAAGCCTGCGGGCATGAGCGTCGATGGGTTTTCGCCAGCGCAACACGTAGTCGAGCAATTATCACGCTGGCACAAGGGGGCATTATCCCCGTCGGTTCGGACAACACGGCTACCAGTCGTGCGCGGCGAGCAGAACGTGTACAGTGTACAGACGCAAGCTGGTTTCCACCAGACAGCCGGTAATTCATGTGTCGCCCGTGGGAGTCGTCAGCATCAATTGACCAGTTGCAGTTCCAGTTCCCGCAGACAAGGAAGAGAATGAGCGCAGCCAGCGAGAGTCGCTCGACGGTCGTGCCATGCCCCGTCCTCTCGGGGGCGGGAGGCGTCATCTACTTCCACAAGGACGAGGAACACTCGCGTATTGTGGAAGAGCGAGCAGCCATGACCAGAGAGAGCCCTTGGGCTCGAAGCGTCAAGGACGTCCTTCTGGTCATGCTCAAAAGCGAGCCGCGCCCACGCGAGATACAGAGTCTCCTCCTCGCATGGGGACGTGCAGTTCACAAACCAAGTCGGCGGTATTAACCTCGTGCTCGTCATTGGCGCCGCCCTGCCCACCGTGACGCTTGACAGGATGGGCTGGCCCGGCTCGGCCTCTGCTGTCCCAGGCAGGGGATGACGGAGCGCCAGGAGGCTTTTGGCTCCGTCTCGGTGGCCTTGTTTACGTCCTTTGGGCGGCGTCAACCATGTTCCTCGGGTGTACGTGGCTGGGGTGTTGGCTCTCAAGGCGCGGCTATCTGCGTGAGCCCAAACTGGTTGTGGGATTCTCACTACTTTCGTGATGACGCCGGTCATCATGAAAGGATGTACTGAGGGCGTATCTTATGTTCATGGGTGCTAATCTTGTTGCTCCCTGCCGACTGTGTACTTTATCCGGAGATGAGCAACCCTCGGCTGGAGAATATGGACTGCATATTTTCTCGGGGGGCGGAACCGTGGCAAAGTGTCGAAGAAGACGGCGAGGGAAACGAAGGATAGTGGTCACACTGGGTTTGGTATCGAGGACTCGGCGGTTAGCCCGGAGTAAATGGGGTGCCGAGTTGGTGGAGCATGAGGGCTAGCGATGAATAGATTGTGTTGGCTTGTTTGAAGATTGATATTTGGCGTCATTGCGTCTTCCATCATGGCTTGTGGCTGGGTGCTGTTTGAGCAAAAGGGGTTTGTTGTGTGGTTTGATTTCAATGTAAACCTATGTTCTGGAGCCAAGAGATGGACCTCATCAAAACGTGGTGTGTGCCTGGCATTTCATGGGACAATGCGCCCTCGCCATGTGAAGCATGGTGCCTGCTTATTCTACAACTAGACATGTGAAATACGACTAGGCGTTGGATGTCATGGCTATATGAGATTATCAAATGCCTGTGGTTGCTGTGTCGCGGCCAACTCCTCGTCACACTGCGTGATCATAGTGAGAACCATGTTTAGGGGGCTGAATCCAAGTCACAGCGAACGCGTCTTGAACAACGATACACGTACTGCATATGTAGCAATATGTCGTCAACTGGCTCACCCGTAACCGCCACCCTGATATCAGCGCGGAAACGCCTCAACGGCGGCATCTCACTGAGCCAGGGGGCCACAAATGCACGACCGGGGTAGGCATGGAGCCGTAGATAGCAACGGGGCAGTATGAGCAGTGCCAAGATATAAGATAGGCGAGATAGAGATTCGTCAGGGCTGATAGGCTAGCCAGCAAGATGATTGCGCATCGTGACCAACGCAAGACTATCGTCACAGCGTCCACCATTGACACATCTGATGACCAGAATACCAAAATCAATCGCGGCTATCGTACTCCGTACCGCCAGGAAGGGAGGAGGGTTTAATTTGGCCAATATCGCCATCCTCCCATATCTCCAAGTCGCAGCGCCACGGTGCGGTTTCCGCGCCGCTATACAACATCACCATGCAATGCACAGCGGCAATGCGATCGACGCCGCACAGCACACTCGTCCAGCTTGGCGTTTTCTCGAAGCACAGCGCGGCTACTGTACGCGGCTACTGTGGTTTGTGCTGTGCTGTGGCGCACATCCAAGCATTCCGATTCGAATGGGAATAGTCTGGCGCGGTCTGAACCGTTAAATGGTTGGACTGGCCGATGTGGCAGACGCCATTGCTAGTAGACCCCAGCCCTGGCTGACCTTTGATGGGACTGCCACATGGCATACGGAGCAGTTTCGTGCTTGCTCGCGACTTGGCGATGCCTCCAGTGTATGTGGACGGATGAATATTCATCGTGAGTGCCGGCCAAGCATCATCAACCCCAGAAATTTCGCTCCGCTCGGCGTAGTTATTGTCTGCCATCCATCGTCATCGTCGTTCTGCGCAACTGCAGATTCAGCAGCGCAATTTCATGTCGGCCGCGTGCCGCGCTCTGCCCTCTCAGCCAAAGTCAGCCTCCCCCCGTAGGCCCTGGTCCTCCGTCGACGCCACAATCATGGTTGCCTCGTTTCTGCCTTGAGCTCGGCTAGATCCATGCTGCAGACAGGTCAGCTCCGTCGACGAATTTGCATTGTACGCACCAGGCGGAAACAGACACTGTTTCTTTCCCCCAGGTCTCGACTGTGTTCCCCCGCATCTCGTTCGACCCTCCAACTCCGCAATCTCATTGCAGCCATTCATCAGCCGAGAGAGACTTCCCCATCTTTTGGGTATCCCTGTCAAGTCGCATGCCCATGGCCCACTAAGCGCGATACCGGACATCTGGACGGAAGAAGCCACCACCCACACGTGAGTCAATTCCTTCCATATCTGCATTCGACAGCTGGGGAGCCCTTCGATTGACATTATTATGCATTGTGGAGCTCCGCGGGAGACATAAAGATAAGGCCATCGTCTCTCTTGGCGACACCCGAGTTTTCGTGGTATTCAAGAGGAGTCGAGTCAGTCGACCCCCCCAATCTCTCTTTTCTTTCTCTCTTTTCGAGTTCCATTCCTCGGGACGTCGCTGGCTTCGCAGTGCACCTCCATCCTCCGAGATAGAGAGAGAGAGCCACGCGCGCGCGCTCCCACCGTGCCCGAACAAATAACCAACATCATCATCGTCCCGACTCCTCACCCACCGCCATGAAGCCCGCAGTATCGCACGCCTCAACCATGGAACCCCGTCGCCCATCCGCCAGCGATGCCGCCGACGCAGCCCTCGCCAGCCTCGGCTACAAGGGCGAGCTGCCCCGAAACCTCAGCATGATGAGCATCCTCGGCCTGTCGTTTGCCATCATGGCCGTGCCCTTTGGCCTCTCCACGACGCTCTACATCACGCTGTACAACGGCCAGTCCGTCGCCGTCCTCTGGGGCTGGGTGCTCGTGTCCCTGATATCCATCTGCATCGCCGCCTCGCTCGCCGAGATCTGCGCCGTCTTTCCCACCGCCGGCGGCGTCTACTACTGGTCCGCCATGCTGAGCACCCGCCGCTGGGCGCCCATGGTCAGCTTCGTCGACGGCTGGCTGACCCTCGTCGGCAACTGGACCGTCACCCTAAGCATCAACTTCTCCGGCGCCCAGCTGATTCTCAGCGCCATTTCCATATTCAACCCGGACTACGTCGCCAACCAGTGGCAGACGGTGCTGTGTTTCTGGGCCGTCATGCTGGTGTGCGCCGCCGTGAATGCCTTTGGGTCGAGGTATCTGGACCTCATCAACAAGGTCTGCATCTACTGGACCGCCGCCAGTGTGCTCATCATCATGGTTACACTGTTGGTCATGGCCCCGTCGCGCCACTCGGGCGCCTATGTGTTTGGCCATTACGATGCTTCGGCGAGTGGGTGGCCTGCGGGATGGTCATTTTTCATCGGATTGCTGCAGCGTAAGTGGGAAAGGAAGCCATTGTCGATTTTTTTTTTCGACTTGCTCTGTATTTCAAGACCTGCTTTTTGCTAACTTTTGCCCCCGTTTGGCCGATTTTCAGCTGCCTACACCTTGACCGGCTACGGCATGGTCGCCGCCATGTGTGAAGAAGTCCAGAACCCCGAACGAGAGGTCCCCAAGGCCATTGTGCTCTCCGTCGTCGCCGCCGGCATCACGGGTGTCATCTACATCATCCCCTTGCTGTTTGTCCTGCCTGATGTGGCCATTTTGCTCCAGCAAACTCAACCCATTGGCCTGCTCTTCAAGACAGTCACGGGATCTGCCGCTGGCGGATTTGGCTTGTTGTTCTTGATTCTCGGTATCCTCATGTTCGCCGGCATTGGTGCCCTGACGGCCGCATCCCGCTGCACCTATGCGTTTGCTCGTGACGGCGCTATCCCCGGATACCACCTCTGGAGCCGCGTCAACAAGAAGCTGGGCATGCCGCTGTGGGCTCTAGCCCTGTCCACCGTGGTCGACTGTATCCTCGGCTGCATCTACTTTGGCTCCTCGGCAGCGTTCAACTCCTTCACCGGCGTCGCGACTATCTGTCTGTCCATGTCATACGGTGTCCCCGTGTTGGTGCTGCTCGTCCGCCGCCGAGAGCTGGTAAAGAGCTCGCCCTTCTCCCTTGGAAAGTTTGGTACAATCGTCAACATCATCTGCATCGTGTGGATCGTATTTGCCGTTGTTA